CCCAACTTAGTTTTTGGATTTTCAGCTGGTGAGATTTCGATTCAGATGATGAAATTTTTGACTTTGAACTCCTACTGTAATGAGATGAGGCTCAGGAACCTGGGGTGGGGGTGAATGTATTTTTTGTGTGGAGGGGGTATAAACTACTGCGGGCCAGAGGGCGGGCTGTGGCAGGCAGAATGGGATGAGCCCCAAACATTCTGCCTTTTGGTGGACATGCTCTGTGTGGTCTCATCCCCTTGAGTGTGGGCAGGGGCTGGGAATATGATGGGATACAACTCTGCTGAAGACATTTTGTGGATGTAAATAATACCCTGGATCAGATGATTTCTGAGTTAAGAGATGGGAGATTATCCTGGGTCAACTTGACCTAATCAAGTGAGCTCTTAAAAGAGATAAGAATTAGCAATAGGCACTCTCCTACTGGCCTTTAAAAAGCAAACTGTCATGTTGTGGAGAGGGCCACGTGGCAGGGAGCGGAAAGTGGACTTTTAGAGCTGAGGTCTTTAATTCTGTGGCCCCGGGGAATTGGATTCAGCCAACAACCAGGGAGCTTAGAGGAGGACCCTGAGTCTCAGATGAGATCACAGCCAAGGTCGACACCTTGATTGCAGCCTTGGGAGACCCTGAGCAGAGAATCAAGTCGAGACATGCCCCAAATTTGACCTACAGAAACCGTAAGATAATATATTTAATGTTTTAAGCTGCTACATTGCAAAAGCTTCAAAGCAGTTATTAAAAATATATTCAAAGAATTTTTTAACACTATATTCAAAGAACTAAAAGAAAATGCGCTAACGATGGGTCAGTACAGAAGAAATCTCAACACAGAAATGAACGCTACAAAAAAGAACCAAATGGATATTCAGAGATGAGAAAGATAATAACCAAAAACAAAACAAAACAAAACAAAACAAAACAAAACATAAACCCAGCAGCAGGTTTGAGATGGCAAAAGAAATCAAATGAACTTAAAGACAGATTATCAGACATTATCCAATTTGAAGAATAAAAGGGCAGAAAAAATATTTGAAGAGATAATGGCTAACATCTTCCCACACTGATTTTAAGAGCATTGCATTCCAAAGGCTGCAACAAACCCCAAGTCTGATAAACACGGGCTACATCTAGACGTATCTTAAACTTCTGAAAGACAAAGACAAAGAGAAAATCTTAAAAGCAGCAAGAGAAAAATGGCTCATCACAGGTAACCAAATGATTACCAAATGACCTCTCATTCAAAACCAAGGCAACACTAGGGTGGTATAATCTGAAACTCACCATGATGAAGGGGGGAATAAACCCTGTAAATGAGCATTCTACAGCCAACCAAACTATCTTCCAAAAAAATTGAAGGTAGAATAGAAACATTCCCAAATAAATAAAAACTGAGCTTTTGTTGCTAACAGATCTAGCCCAGATGAAATACCAAAGAAAGTCTTTACACTGAAAGAAAATGATACCAGAGGGTACTCAGATTCACAGCAAGTCGTGAACAGCATGGAAAATGATACTTAGGTGATAAATATAAGAGACTGTGTATATATACATATTTTTCTTCTCTTACTACTCTTCAGAGTAATAATAAAAATAAAGCCATAATTATACCATTCTGAGTTTATAACATATATTAACACAATTTGTATGTCTACAATAGCACAGAGGAGGGGGTAGGAAATGAAGCTACACTGATACAAATTTGCTAAATTTTACTGGAATTAACTCAATACTATGCTGAAGATTGTGATAAATTCAGGAAGCAGACTATAATCCCTAGGTTAACCACTAAAAGTGTAACTAAAAAATTTAGGTAAGAAATCAACATGCTTGGGTACCTGGGTGGCTCAGCTGGTTAAGCATCTCACTCTCGATCTCAGCTCAGGTCTTGATCTCAGGGTTGTGAGTTCAAGCTCCACATTGGGCTCCGCGCTGGGCGTGAAGCCTACTTTAAAAA